TTTTAAATTTTAACCACGTTGTCTCAAGTACATGGATTATTCAGTGATTAATGCGAAGGAAACCCAATCTCGACTGATAAATACGTAAGGACACGGCATTAGTTTGGAACTTCAAAATAAAAGTACGAAAATATTTCAGTCGTAATGTTGAATAATTTGAGCGCAATTCTACCTGGAATCTCACGAATACAAGTTAAAGAGTGTTACTACCGTACCAACTGTTCAAATTTGCCTTTTACACTGAAGTCTGTATGCTCTTGATGATAGTGCATTATAACGCGTAAAATTGTTTTCGACTCTCCCATCTTCAGTGTTCGATATTTTTCACCTGCGGCACACCCTAATTTATGATAGACACATGACGGCACACCACAGAATTTTGCCTTACGAAAAGAGGGGTACGAACTGTACATGGCCTTAAATACTTCATCTGTAAGAATGTATGCATATGATAACACACCATAACACATGTTGAATTAACTATCGATTACGAAACAGTGTGTGTGTATTACAAACTCTAATTACAAAAGTTAAGATATTGATTTTTCCTAACGTCAACGTGCGAGTATGCAATTTCTTATAAAAATTCGCTGCACGCCGGTTAAGGGACACAGGTCTAGATTAAAAAGAATATATAAACATAGAACGACAACGTTTCGGAAGCTGAATTATGCTTCAACCTTCAGTTGAATAAGGGGAATTGGAAGAAGACAGTGAACCTATCTGTTGCTCCCCCTTATTGAGCTAGCCTCAGACTGAGCTCAACCAGGTGGCTTATCTGACACACTTTCGGATATTAAACAATGAATATGAGGCCTGAATTTGGCCCTTGTGAAAATATTTAGTAAAATACAAGCTAGCCTTTAAAAGGAGACTGGGAAATGCCTTGAAATGAAAAGATTAAAGTAGGCGACTCTTCGTAAACTCCTGGTTTAGTTACTGTGCTACATGCACGGTCTAGCTTTCTCTAATTTTATGACAGCGACAATAAATTTCGGACTGACAATTATGTGTTTCTCTACGGCACAGTGGAATCTAGCCTGGCAGATGGCTATGAGTCACCGGATCGACAACGCGGTTCTGTTTGGACAGTGGAATCCGCTCCGACCCTCTCGTGGAGAAGCGCGCGTTTTCCACGTGTTGTGTCTACGACGAATTTTATAATTTGAACTCTTCGCTAAATGTTAAATGTTTTTAGTGATATCAAATCTAGAGATAAAACTGGTGGGATGTAACACAGACACACAAACGTTTGTTCAAAGAAAGGCAATATTACAATGGAGCTTAGAAGTACAAGATATTTGTGCAGGACGGGTTTCATCTGAGTGTGAATAAGTTCCAGTGGCGGACTCCTTTGAGCAAGATAATGAGCCCACGGGTTGCATAAGAGACAGGGAATTTTTTAATTGGCTGTGAAAGTATTAGTTTTTGAAGAAGGCGTCTGTCCCATGAAGTTAGTTAGATAACCACCTATAATCTATAAGTGATTAAAAGAATGCCACTATTTACAGCTCAGGAAATTACATCAAACAATCGAAGGTTTAAAATAATGCAATCACGTAATCATAGTTGAATTTGAGATATGAATATGAAATAGTGGGCTAAAACTAAATGATTTTCTAACAGATGCCATAAATAGGTTAACTTATAAAATACTACATGCCCCATGGAGCTGAGTCCATCTTGAGAAACCAAGTCACTCAGCCATTCAAGAAATTCTTAGCATTTTATGGAACCCGAAGGTCCATTAGCATGTTCACAAAAATCCGCCATTGGTCCCTGTCCTTAGTCAGATGGATGCAGTCTATACCACTCAATTCTATTTCTTTAAGATCGGCTTTAATATTATCCTCCCATCTACGTTTGGGTCTTCCTAGTGGTCTCTTTCCTTCTGATTTGCCCACCAAAACCCTGAATGCATTCCTGTTCTTTCAAAATTGCGACCCCTCGCCCTGACGATGGAGGCAGCAAGGACCTCTGAAACGTCGGTAAACTTCTGCCAGACTACACGACACTACAACTGCCGACGCTACAACCCAAAAGACAGTCATTTCCAAAATGAGGTTATTTGTAACACTTCTTGTAAACTGATGCAAGTGAAAGGAAACATTTTGTTTTGTACTGTACAGAAATCTTCGAACTTCCTGTATTAGTGACAATGAAATTACCTTGATTCGCTTTCTGCGTGTTACTTCGTGCAAACAACGAATATGAACTGGACCAATAACCACATTTTAATTAGAATTTTACAAGATGTTTGGAAATTATTATGGATGAAGTTATCTGTTTTTACCTGCAGTATAATACACCGGCTTACAGAAATAAAACAATGGGTAATCGAGCTGAGATTTTAAATAGGCAGGTAACCAGATAACGTTTCAGTTTGTCTGTTTGCATCAAAAAGCTGTTTCGACCCTGCTAATACTATAATAGTGTGATTTCTACAATTTGCAAATCCCCTTCTGAAGTCGATTTACGGCCCCTATTAGCAGCGACAACACTTCGGGACGCTTACGTCTACTTCAGCGTTTACTGTTAACTTTCCGGGTCCCTCCTCTCACCAGGACAGCGACACGTCCCCAAGACAGAACACGGTCACCCTGATGACGGAGGCAATGTTCATCTCTGACACGTCCGTCAATTTCTATCAGATTACACTATTCGAAATTCCACAAGACAGCCATATTCAAGTTTTAAGACAGCATTGATTTGTTTAACGAGATTTATTCAACTAAAATGGATATTTGAAAGCTAAATTGAAAGGGATTGGGAAGGAAGTGGCCCTGGCTTTTACGTTAGGTTGACAGTCCGTTTACATAACAATTTCTTTTGTTATAGTTTCAATGTTTCTTAAGAATCCATTACATGTTTAATTAAGTAATTAATCTTTTATTGGTAATCGTCTGGTGGTTCTGTTTAAGTGTTCTAAAAAAATATATATTGCTGCCCTGGCCTATTTTACGGCGGTCTCTGCCATATCGGCATTTCGCTAATGCTTTTAAGGGAACTCTCAAAAATGTAACAAGGTTAGATGTTTTCAGCACTGAGCTTCGAACTGGGACGTTTGGGAAATTTGGGTTTGAGCGTGTAGCTAGAGTCATGTCTGGAGGGGTCCGGGTAGTCTGTGTGAGCCCTTCTTTAAGATTTATACAGAGGGAGAAAAATTCGAAGTCATTAACTTGTAAGTTTAATATTACTGACGCAAAACTGTATATTTATTATTTATTATTCTTACATCTGCTCTGGGATTCAAATGGAATTTTATACTTAATGCTATATGTTTCATGTTTATATTTCTTGGGCACTTGAGGTGACGCTACATTGTAATCGCCCGGGGCGATGGTACTGCTCGCCCAGCTATTAGGGCGGCCTGTTTGCGGGCTGAAGTGTCGGTTACAGGCCTACTTAACTGATATCAATGAAAACTGAATTTGTCTTGTAAAATTTAAAGCGATAACACATTTAACCAAAATTCGCTGAATAGGCTAATTTAATTTTGAAAACAAAGTATGATAAGAGGCGGACGGACGGACGGACATTCTTTTTCCAGTGTTTGTTTAAGTAGACTTCGTGAAGAAAGAATACGATAGGCTAAACTAATTTGCAACTAAAATTATTGAATAAATTTAGACCTAGACATAACTGGTTTAATTTAAAATCACAATTAATCTATATCTTTTATCTTCTCTTCCACATTTTATCTGATTTTCTCTGTCTCTTTCTTCAGTCACCCATCCTTTTATTCGTCTCTCACATTTTCCTGTTCGTACTTCCCGCTTCTATCTGCCCTTCTCCCTCCATCGTTTAGTTCTCCTCTGCGTTAATCTTTACCTCGTTCGTCCATTTCATGTCATAATTGTTTAACCTCCACTTATTTATCTGTGTGTTCGTTCTCTGCCGATCACAAGAATTGGAAAGACGAGATTTTTCCAAACAAATCTTAGTTGGCTTGTTCACTTTCAGTTCGTAGCTCGCAGCAGAAATTCCTCGTAAGTTCATTTTACCATATTCACAGTCTACCATCTGTCATTAAGCTAAGCAAGATAAAATCCAGTCCACATGATTACCCCACATTTCTCGTATATTTATTTTAATATTATCTTCCCGTCTATTAATCTGCATTTCGCGTGTCTTAAAGCTTGTAGTCTTGAACTAAAATGCAAGCGAAATAGAAGGAATAATGTGATAAAATTTCTAAGCACAGTTCCGGTATTACTACGTCCAAACAAATATATCTGTGGAATTTGTTAATGAAACACCAAACTAATTACTTTTCAGAAAAAATTAGTGAATAATGGTGAATAGGATGGAAGAATTCAGTACCGTGGAATTTGTGGGACATTGTTTCATATGTAAAAAATTATGTTGAGCGAAATTGTACTAAGTAGGATTTGAAGTTTTCACGGAGTTGAGTCTGAAGATGGCAGTCTTCTGGGTTGTAGCGCCGTGTAGTCTGGTAGAAGTTAGACACATTTTCAATAAAAATTATTTACACACATAAACATTATTCTCGAATATATTTTTATATTTAGTTTTCGCTTTACACGACATTCCTATGTGAAATACTTTTTTCCATTGTACATTCTTTGTTTGAGGATTTTATAACCGCAGAATCAAGAATGTTAACAGATGATCTATAACGTGGCACTTTACCCTACTAGTAACCTAAGTGCGTCTGTCAATAGTACCAACTCCCTGATCTCTGGCTTTGTACAAGCTACCATCTTATCACAACGTCAACCATTTGTCCCTAAATGTGTCAGTAATGGAAACAATTTCCTGGCATTAAAAAAACAACAGCCTCCAAGAGCATATCGTGGACTGTTAGTAGCATAATGTGTGGGCGGGGAGATTGAAGGAACATCAACCAATGAGAAGTGAGAGGTCGGACTAGGACTACCAATCAGATATTGTAGTGTAATGTTTCTGGCCGGGGGCAGGTTCAGCGCGAGGCTTAGACCGCGGGATGTGTTGCCTTGTATTAGAACGTCAGACAGATAAGTGCGAACATAGGTAGCGTGCGTCTCGTTGCCAGGTTCGAGACCAGCTCACGTAATTCACTGAGTAAGGTATGTGTCTTGATCTACAGACCAGTTTAACGTCGTTTAAAAGTTCTGTGACGTGGGGGAAAATCTCCCAGTTCTGATTTTATGGGTCCATCGCTCATCAGCAGTTGGAACACGCATCGATTACAGCAAACGGTTCTTTTGTGCCCTTCGTAACATGAACAGTTTAAAGAATTTTCTTGTCGCATGGCATTAGCCAGAGGGTGTACTCTTAGGACGAAAATAGTTTGAAAATTACATAAACTTTTGCTAAAATGGCTGCTACGACGACATTAGAGGCGAGCAGTGCTAACAATAACAATACCAACAGTGGTGCCACACTGAAGAAGTCGTTCTGTATCGAGGCCCTGTTAGCACGGAGCGAAGATCCGGAGGACGGTCCTGTGAGTCGCAGCGCTTCGCCCCGGACTCCGTCGCCGCAATCGCCCGGGACGTCCGTCCACAGCGTCAGTCCGCCCATCTCGCCCGGCTCAGAAGACGTCTCCTTGCCTGTCGACAGCTATTCCGGAGTGCCGGGTTCGAGTCCACACCTGATACCAAGACCCGGACTGCTCGCCAACCCCACGACCCCGTCGTCGGCAGTAGCTGCGGCCTTGTTCGCCGTAAATCACCACCAGAATCATCTGAATCATCATGCTGTTTATGGCTTCCCTAATCACCATCACCATCATCTTTTGACGGGAGGTTCAGCCTTCCATCCGTTGGATGGGGCAACGGGTGGTGTGAAGGGTGGAGGCGGTGCGCCCGGAGGCGGGGCGGGGCCTACGGGGAACCAGCAACACCTCCAGCACATGCAGCTGGAGTGGCTGGCTAGGACCGGCATGTTCTACCCCCGTCTGCCGGATCTCACAGGTCAGTAACTCAGACTTCGAAAGATCACGTCACAAGGAACTTGGCCCTACAACGAGCTCCAACATCGTGACGGTTCTCTGCATAAAACTACTTCCACTGCTCGAAAATTTTGACTGAAATGACAACTGGTTCTAAAATAAAGAGCCCAATTATTTAGTCATGATAACGCTCCGTCTTATCTCTCCATTTTGCTACTGCAGTATCGAAAGGCTTGTAAAGCGACAAGAAAGGGCGAAGCTGTGCTTTTTAGTGAAGATAAAATGGCGAAGTTATTCCTGCCCTTAATTAAACATCGCGTTTTAACGACGCATTGGGGGTGGTTGGTACCAGATCCCAGCCGCATCGCTCCCAGGGAGATTCTGACACCTGCTGGATGGACCCCAGAGTATGTCTAGACGCGGGAATCGAACACCGTCTGACCAGCCCCTGGCCAGTCGCCGTAGGCTTACTAACTTGGCTACTCCTAAGACATCTCTTCGGCGATTAAGGTGTCGGCGAAAATTGGAAGATAAGAGAATTAAGATTGATGTGTGGGGGTGTGGACTGGACTTATCTGGCTCAGGATAGGTTACAAAATGAGGCAGTCGTGATCTATTTCAAGGCACTGTTCAATAATTCATTTGGAGAAACTGAGAAAAAACACGAGAAACTTCAGTCAAGATGGGCACTCAGGACTATACCACAAATGCAGTCACAACTGAAACAGCCTCTCTGCTGGCACGATATTCGCATGCAGACGTTAAGTTATCGATTTTAAATATCGATCACCTGCTGTTTCTAGACAGAATCGCGTCGCTATTGAAACGGGGTAAGATATTAAACTCCTCGGTCCAATATTTTGCTTTTCGTTATATTACTAATGAGGCATGAACACAAACGTTTGAAATATTTCAACTCGTTTACGCTGAAGTCTGTCTTAGTAGCGCTGAAGGATTAAAATCGATTAGCTACATGATAAACCTGGTACTCAGCGATTCTGTTCACAATCAGTTTTCTCTACTTCAAAATATCAGATGAAAAAGCTGTTCCACCTTGAAGAGTCAAGCATTATTTACATACACATAGGAGTATACTCGAAAACGCCAGTGCTTAATTTGTTGCAAATATTCAGATTTCCAAAATGTAACAATTAAGCCATCGCCTGTCTAGAAGAATGTTACCACAATAAAATGGACTACAGAAAATATTCTGCATGCAGAAATATTAAGAATACAGCATTATTAATTTCGTAGAATGATGCCCTAAATTGTATTCTGTTAATGCAGGGAATATTTAATGGATCTTTGAGGTAGGCCATAATTTGTAAGAGGGCATCAACACGCAAAATACAAAATAATCCTACTCTTAACATTGACTATTCTTTCCATTATTTAATAATACAATGCAAATGTTATAGGTAAGCTGATAGATTACTGCGACATGTTTCTGCCTTTTTCGGCCATCCTCAGGTACTAACTTGAGTCTTAACTGTTACAAGTAACGTGCAAAAATTATGTCAATTCTAAAAACCTTAAATACTTAAAAAATAACTATAAAATGATACATGAAAATGCAGATTTAAAAGTAATTTACTTCCTTATTGGTAAGCTCCAGTGCCTGTTAGTTGTAGTATTTAAGTTAAGGTTTAACTAAATAAATAATAACACAAAATCACAAAATCATGTTAAGCACGACGTACATACAGAACAACTTCGAATACGATATTAAAAATACAATAAATCTAGAAGAAAACATCATTTGAAATCTGATAAACATCTAATGTAAATCGAACATTTCGATAGAGAGCATCATTTGATATATTTTAAATATTTAAATGTTAATTATGGTAATATTTTAATAGGAATTTTATTGTCATTAGACTGACAAGATTTAAACAAATATGTATTTATCACAATATGACGCAACTTTATCATCTCGTTAAGGTTTAAGTTGTTACGTGAGGATGGCTGTAGAAGGTCGAAACATGTAATAATCTATCTACCTATATAATGGGCATTGTAATACTAATTAATTAAAGGAATAATAAGTATCAAGAATGTGGCGATAAAGACGCGTGTTGACTGAACAAAACATTGTAACGTTTTAGTTCCTAGCTGCTTTAATTGTGTTTAACATCCGTGTTTGTGTTACATTTCAAATTCTTACGACGGTGATTCTAAAGATGGCTGTCCTCTGGGTTGTTGCGCCGTGTAGTCTAGTATAAGTTTACCGACGATCAGTCCCCCTGATGATGGAGGCAGCAAGGACCTCTGAAATATTGGAGAACATCTACCAGAATACACGGCGCAACAACCCAGAAGATAGCCATCTGAATCTGTAATTTTTCATAAATAAAATTTGGCGTCACTATCATCATATTATCACATAACAGAACAAAGTGCGCACACTGTTTTTATAAACGAGGCATTAGCGATCGAGTTATGTCTGTGTGTCTTTAACAGTGAAATGATATCAGGCTCCAGTCATATATACGGATTTAAATTATTTAATTTTCCATCAGTCTTTAGCTACACCTGTGTCAACTTTAGCTTCATAAATAAATCAATGACAGGGAAAAGTGAACGAGACGTTTCCAGGATCTGACTTACGTCGTATGCCCATGTTTCGTTTGCTTGTTTGACTTGTCGTAACTGCCCCTGTCTTTTGACAAATATAAAATCACTGGGTCCAAGATAGGCCACGTTGTACCCTTATTATTGTACAGAACGTCTAGAAAACTTTTCACGAAATGACCAATGTCTTTCCGACTGCCTGTCTATTCTGTTTTGGATTTACGTGTTTAAACAGAGCCTAATCGATATGGCTATTTTATATAATCGACATAATGAAAATACCACTGAAAGGAGATGGGAGACTAAACCAGTGGCTTCATAGCCGGGACTTGAATCCCGGCAGGTAGAATTTTTCTTTTCTCCAGAAGGCCAGGACTGGCTCTGGGGTTCACCTAGCCTCCTATCCAATAGGTACCGGGGTCCTTTCCCGGTGGTAAAGCGCGGTCGGGGCTTCATGCTGACCTCTGGGTCCTTTCCCGGTGGTAAAGCGCGGTCAGGGCTTCATGCTGACCTCTGACCCCCATCTAGTGCCGAGGTCAATAATGAGTAGGAGCTATACCTTCTCTCCCCCCAAGCGACCTACATGGCGTGTAGCGGACTGCTTTATTATTTTATTATTTATTTATTATGAAAGGAAGTGGTCGCGACCTAATTTAAGGTGCTATCTCGGAATGTGCCTGGAGGGACGAATTAAAACCAGGAAGAGCTTCAGGAAGAATTACCGGTCTCTGGACCGAAATTTGAAAAATGGGACCAAGAATCCACGACATCCCGGCGGTTAAAAACATTCAAATTAAAATTACGAAGCACTGGTTAAAGAAACGACAAGTAATTAATTTTCGCTTGTCGGTTCAGCGGTAGATGCGCACAGAACTGCGACTCTACCACAGATGTTCAGTCTCGCAAGAAGGCGTGTAGCTCCTTCCTTATTCTTTCCAGTTCACTGATCAATTTTTTACAGTAGACGATTGTCGCAGATTCGCTCTACAAGCAGGTTCTCACCGCAAACACATTCAACCTAACCTAAGAGGAGGCCTTAGTTTTTCTGATCTGCCCGAGATTGTAATTTTATCTTCAAAAACATATTTGCACTCTCATTAAACATCGCATGCTGTGGTCGAGTGGTTAGCACTCCTGCTTTGTATTCGGGACGTTCCGGGTTCGAATCTCAGCTCAAAGAGGGTCTATTCTGACTTAACTTACTATACTGAGTTCGATTAGGAAACTGCTTCTATTTTGTCTTAAAACAGACCTTCCATGACCTTCTTTAAGTAGCCTAATGACAATCAATCAGAATCAATAAGAGCACAAAATTCTCGTTTTGATAACTAGACGCAACTTCAACGCCAGGTTGAAGAAATTTCGAAATGTACATGTAGGCCTATATTATAGACGTATTTATACAAACGTTTTATCAACTCATTCGGCCATCTGCATGTTCATAATGGGAGTATTTTGCAATTAAAATCTGTGTTAGGTGGGCCCAATTGTACTTTCGGGCAGCCCAAATCTAATTTAAAATATTTTTGTGTTGTTGTTCTGCGTTTTGGAACCATGTAGACTCGCAGGTACATGACAACGTTTCGGAGAAACATACTATGTACAGCTTCAAGGATAAGACGTTGGCATATATCTACGAGTGTATAAGGAGTTAAGATCCAGAATAACGTCATCATCGCTATGGAAATCTCGGATCTTATATTGTCATTTTTTTCAACATATTTCCCTATCATAATTTCAAACACAATAATAAATACAGACTGCATAGGCCTATAAATAAATTAACAAATAAATAAACAATAAACAAATATCGTAAGAAGGTGAATTCGCGGTTTTACGAAATTCATCAGTCAAAATTCGTAACTAGTTTTAACCTATAAATGTACCATTGTTTGAAAATAACATCGGGGAAACAAATAAGCTACTTTTCCAGTGCAGTGACTGTGAACGTGTATTCGGAACTGAAGATGGACACGTTGGACAGAAACATGTAGTTCAATTGAATAAACTGTGGACTCAAGTGACTGACAAGAACCAACAAATATCTGCAGAATTTCAACAAAGTTTTCAAATAATTCTTGATTGCAAAATATTAAACTGCAGGAATACTTTAGAATAATAGCTAAATGTTGTCTCCGCCGCTGAA